AGTGTTTGGACTTTTGTTTGGACTTTCATTATGTTGCTGTTTGGAACAGAAAAAGCTCAAAAAAGGTCCACTAACCAAATAAACTATCTACTCTAATCAAATTTATTCAGTTAATTTGGTTTAGTTAGTTGTTGCATTTCGGTTTCGGTTCAGTTTTGTAAACATGTACAGTTTGGTTATTTAATTAGTTCAATTATCATTGATAACATAATCGAATAACTGAATACTCAACCCTAAAAGAGAGAAGCAGGTTACTTTATTAATGAGGCTTTAACCAATGAAAATATAACATTAACTATCTCTTTTCTAAATTCTTGTTCCGTGCTTACCATAGAACGTGCTTATCACTATAATACAATTTAGATTATTTAAAATTTGATATGAATATTAAGATTTAATTTAAAATTTTTAATTTGTAATTTTTTTCATTGATAAATTAATTTTTTAAAGAAATATTAGTTAAAAGGTTATTTTTATTTTAAATTTTAAAAGACTATTATGCTACTGATTTTTCGTTGATAAATTAATTGCATTTTTATTTTTTATTTTTCAACATTGTTTTAAAAACAGAAAACCAAACAGGCCCGATATTTCCCAAATGTTTTTCACCACTATTACTTTTTATTATATATACAATTTGTACACTCTATGGAATTTTCTAAATTCGGATAAGGACCATTCTGTTGTTTTAATTTTTATTTAGAAAAAAGAGTCTACCAATATATAACTTGTCAAATTTATGAGTTTAATAAATTGATCCAGTTAATTCGACCTACTTTGATATAAGCATGTGCCAAACACACACCACATCCATAAATGATTTAATCTTCCTAAATTTGATAAAAATTCAAAAGGGAAAAAAAAGAAAAAGAAAAAGAAAATCATTGAACAGCAGTGGCTACAATAATATCCATGTGTCCATTACCATAAATAACTAATCACAAACGAAAGATCCATCTAATTTTTTTTCCTGCAATAATTGAGTTGCGTTTATAACAAAAAACAGACCCTGTCATGCCAGACATTTCACTTACTATATAATTCTAGAAAAATAAGTTAAGTATAGATCATCGGGAAAATATATATGTAGTATATATGAACAGACCTGGTGGCTTAATTAATTAATTAATCAATCAATTAATTCAGAAATTAAACTCGAACCCTAATAGTTATGAGCATAACTGCAATTCGTTGAACCAGAAAAGAACGTATACCAAACTCTACAAAAAAGAATGAAGACATATGACCAAGAGGATACTTGGTGAATTGATGGATCAACAAGATTATAAAGTGGGAGAATTATGTTTCAAGTTTCACCTTATTAAAAAGGTCCCTTGGAGAGAGGCATTATGATCGTAAAGCATCAATATGATTCAGGGCAGTTGGTTGCTAGAATACTTGATAATAGGATTCAAAAAAAATACTCATCCGATCTTTAATATATGATATATTTAACTATTTTGATTAAATTAAGAAAGTTAGTTAAGTTAGGTAATAATTATATACATGGCATATATTTCTCAAAATACCCTCAGTTAAAATTTTTTTAAAAAATATTTTAAATTATTTTATTTAAAATATAAAATGAAAAAATTAGTGTATGTTTGGAAGTAATAAGTACTACTAAATATTAGATGATCAGGAGGGTTATAAAGGAAAAAAGAATGGAGACATATAATATCATCTCACATGTAATGTCACGTTCGCAAGTCAGAAAGAATCATTTTTATTTTTATTTTTTAAATTTTCACGTACACTTCATTTTAATTAATTATACAATCATATGAAGGCAGATAAAGACGGAGGAACAACGCATGTCTGAGATTTTGAGGATGAAATCTTTAATTAATTATTGGGAAAAAAATCCTGTGTGCTTGAAAATATATATTTCTATATATCTAATATAAAATTTAGAGAAAATTAATTTATAAGTTTTATAGTTTCATATTAGTTTTAGTTAGCTCGCCATAGTTTTTTTTTATTAAGTCCCTACAGTGTTTTTTCAATTATAAGCCTTACTTTCTATGCTTATAATTTATTAACTTTTGAGAGAAACAGTATTAATTTGCAACAGAAAGTTACTATCATAATTTTTTTTTTGTCAACAATAAATAAATTTTGATCGATTAATTTATTTTTAAAAAAACTTATTTTATATTTTTATGACAACTTACATGTCACTTAGTCAGTATTTCTATCAACTTTAATTAAAATATTATGAGTATTGAGATTAAAGTCTATAATTGAGAAAACTGCAATACTCCAATTAAAAAGAAAAAATGATAGAAATCGGATTAAAAACCAGTTAATAAAATTATAAGTATCCACAAATTAATTTTCCTTATATAGAAATAGTTTCCAATAAATTGAATTCCTTCTCAGGCCAAAAACTTTTAATTAAATTCCTTTGGATAATTTAAAATTCCCATTAGCCGTGGGAATTTGTTTTTTAAGGTTTCGCAAGTAGATGCTTGCTTTGATCAACTTGAGTTATCAGCTCTCAATAATTGTTTTATTTATTTATTTATTTATTGCGTATGAACAAAGAATTGAAGTACTATAAAAGAATTCACTATAATTTATTTGGTTATGAAAGTTTGACAAAAGCTAACATATATTTATCTTGTGAAAGCTAACTTGATCCTCACGAAATATGTAGAATTTTCTTGTGCCCTTTTTGTTACGTATATTTATATTATTGTTTTTGCATTTTAAATTGATGAGATTATAGAATCAAGATAAATAATTTACGTTGTGAGCTGACTAGAAACAAAGCATATTACATTACTATTATCATTATAATCATTCTTGTGGTCGTTAGTTGCTCTGTCACTTCCATCTTTGTCGCTTCCTACCATTATTTTAAATTATCACCTACTCTATTATTTTTAGTATCATTAATCAATATCAATGGTACATATAATTTGTATATTTAATGATGCTAATATACATAATTTTTCAAAAAAAGCCATAAAAATTCCCAAAATCAATACATAGTTATACTTACTGGCATGGGCAAAGCTAAAAGGTTCATAAGTTGAACATGTCAGCTTGGATGAAATAGTTGGTTTAACTCATTTAACATATATCTATTTTGATATGATTATGATATACTACCCCTGGTCCTAATTATAAGAGCTAGTTGACTAATTTGAGGAGATCAAGGAAGTAAGTTAAGTTAGTTATTTATAATAAATAGTTGTCTTTTTTAAAATATCCTAGTTAATCAAGGGTGTTGGTTAGAACTACCATTATTAGAAGGACAACCTTAGAAAAAAAAAACATAAATATTAGAGACAAAGTGGATTGAAGTCTTATATTTATGACCAAAATTAGAGTCAAACTAGGTCTTATATTAAGGACCAGAGGTAGTATATTTATTATTATTTTAATATTTCATATAACAATAAAAATTAAAAGACACTGGTTTATTTATTAATAAAAGCTACATAGTAAGTTGAGTTATCCTCAAACAATGAAAATAATAATACGTCTTTTCTTTTAATCCCCGGAAGCTATGTCTAATTATTATATGTAAAGACACCTCATGTGTCTTGTTTGTATACTATCGATTGATGTGGATGCAGTTATTAATGTACATGTGAATTTTAAATTTTTTTTATATTATTATCTGTTATCTTGCACTTTTTCTGAACCGTATTTATGAATTTTAAATATTTAATTATTTGTTAAATGGTTCGACCAACCATATAATTTCCCTCAGTGTAACTTAAGGAGTGTTTGGTTATCCAAAAAAGTACTTTTCATAAGTGTTTCCGCACAAATCAAAATAAAACTTCTCTTATTTACTTACTTCGTAAATCATAAAGTGACTTTTAAAATTATGATTTGGTAACACCTTCTAATCATAGTAGGCTGCTTAAATATATTTTAGTGAGAGTTAGTTTACCACAAGTTTTTATCCAAAGCTTGCTTTTATACGTGCCTATATTGTGTTTAATTTATACCGCCTTCTATCTCTTCGTTATAAGCTATCTCTACTCACCTCATCAAAATTGAAAAGAGATTATTAGGTCATTAACTTTGTTTGAAAATAAAGAAAAAATTGCCCATATTTATTACCATCAGTTACACTCAATAAGCCATTGAAAATACAGTTAATGATATTTTAAATAGAATATTCTTTTTAAAAAAAATATAGTTAATGTCTTAGTTATAATAAGAATCATTTTTTTAAAAAAAATGCCTTATAAATTTATAATCCTCTTATCTTTAATATAAAAGCTGCTTAACAATTTGAGTAAATTAAATAAATTACTTTCATTCTAACAAATGTGATCAGATTTCTCTAAAATATCCCCTAATAATACTGCCTCCGATTTTAATATAAGAATTAGATAACTAATTAGTAAATATTAAGAAAATTAATTTAATTATTTATAACAAATGTGTCTTGGTTTTCTCAAACTATTTTGTCTATTGAATCATGTACATTGAAATAACCCATTAATTGAGAATTCCTCATTATAATCATCAGTAATACTTTATATAAATAAAATTATAAATTTCATAAACAAAATGGGATGTGAACTTATATAAAATTGCAAGAAACAAGAATTAATGTTCAGCGAGATTGCGTTGAAACTGATGGTTATATGTAGAAATACCAACAACCTCGCTCTTTCCTTCTTGTTGCTGGAAGCAAGAGTAAATGAAAAAATTAAATGGAGAGAGGCACATGTTCTGTGTTTTACAAGCTCTCAAAAGTCAAAACATTTTCTCTTTTTTTTTTCCGGAATAAATCAAAACATTTTATTCTCTTACAGTGCCAAACACAACTGAACATGGAAGACCAACAAAGGAAGCCCCGTTCAAATTAAACTCAAACCACCTTTACAGTTTACACATCTCCTTGTCATCTTCGGAATTCCATAACCATCTTCACGTATTAATTAGTATACAATATATACATACAAACTCACATCAGGATTCAGAGGAAGAAGAAATTAAGGGAAGCAGAGTGCTTGATATATACATAGCTAGTGAAGATTGGTGGGGGTGATTTTGATGACAAGTCCAGGAAAAACATCATCAGGATCATGAATATGAGGATTTTGTTCTACGATGAACGGGTCGCTGCACTTGTGGCTAATAGAATGAAGAGTCTCGCCTTCTCCGACGACATATATCTCATCGCACGGCCGTTCAAGCAGCTTCTTCCCTCTGATATCGTCGCCGTCGCCGCCGCCACCACTTCTCTCTCTGATACACCCCAATAATATCAAACCCAGAAGTACTGCGCCGCAAAACCACGAAGCTGAATCACCTTTGGTACTGCTCCTGCTTGTCTTCATAGTTCTCGATGATAGTCGTCGCAGCTCTTGAACTAAGCTCAAGCCAGACCCGTTAATGATATGAAGGAACTGGTTATTTGAGAGGTGTATATATATTATCGGTTGAGGCGAGAGATGTATGTTAGAGAGAGAAAGGAAGTTCATGGGTGTGCTTCTGTGGGGATGGGTAGGTTCAACGACTTAAGTCATAGAGAGAGAGAGAGGGGAAGGAAGCAGTCAAATTGGCGTTTGCGTTGGGGAAGATTATTATCACAAGGACGGCGTCGACTAGTATATGTTTGGGCAAACGAATCATCACATAGAGGACTTTGATGGTTCTGATTTCAGGACTAATTACTTAGTCGTGTTGAAGGGATAGATAATGATGAGAACATCGAAATTTTCGTATCTGGTGGAATTTTTCCATTTTGGAGGAAACACGCTTGATGGTACTGTGCATAGCCCATTTTACCCGCCACGAAAAATAATCGAAATTGTACATTGCTGATAAATTAAAGGGAAAACCTATATATTTTTAAAATTTTTAAATTTAATACCTATATATATTTTTTCTCTTTATTAAATTATTATTTAACTTTGTTTTGTTGAAACCGTAACCTCTATGTAGTAACTAACAATGCCAATTGCCAACAGTATAAAGTTACAATAAATACAAAACTAACAAAACACAATTAAAGAGTTTAATAAAGAGGTAAAAAACAACACGGATATCAAATTGAAAATTGAGTGAAAATATAGCCACTTGTAAAATAATTTTACCTTAATTAAATATAAGTGGTATAGTAAAATTTTATGAATGTTTAATGTAATTTTTACAAAAGGAAATGCCCTTCATAAATAATGAATTAGGGAGTACCACTCTATTGCTATTTATAAGTCACTTGGATTCTAAATTAGCTAAGAAATACATTAAATTGATAATTTTTTTTAATTTTTGCCTTTATTAAAAGGAAGGGTATTAAAAAATATGTGTTATATTTTCTCACACCTATTTAAGTTAATAGGGATAAAATTAAAAAAAAACTCATTAATTATCCAACAAGTAATTTATATTTATAAATAAATTATTTTTTCACTTAATATACCGATCCCAAGTCGCACCGACTCAAGGGGAGTGTTTGACACGTGGCATTCATGCTCAGTAATAAATGTGGTGATCCAAATTCCCAATTTTTTTTTGTTAACAAAATTCTCAAGTTTTGACCGGGAAATTGGGTGCCTGAAGTCATGAAGCGCGTAAATATGATCAAAAATTCAAAATACAAGCGGTTATGAATAAGCCTTACTTAAAATAAGAATCATGTCCGTATGTCTATAATACCCATTTTATCCTATTTATTATAAGTTGTTTTCAGTATATTTTATCGTATTTAAGAAAAATTTTAAATTTTGTTAATTCTATTTTGAAACTTAACAACTCTTCAATTTTATCTTGTTTATACACTGCATTTTTCCAAAAAAAAAAATGTATTGATGTATACAATAATAAATAAAAGATAAAACAATATATTTATGTGAAAAATTCAATAATACAATTTATTAATAAGATCAGAAGGGGGAAAGCAGGTTGTTGTACTATTTTTTAAAAAAATAAGTTTAAAAGAGAGGGGCGTTTAAATATGAAAGTTCATAGTCCAACTCGGCAACATAAAAGCATAGGTCGGCATTCGCATGGGGTCATCACTGGTTAGCAATTGATTTGAAGCCGATGGCTCTAATAATAAAAGCGACGAATTTTCAATTATTCAAAAAGTATTAAAATATGTACAGAGGTATATCTATCATAGTCCATCGAAGAGAAACATATAAAAGCCGTCTTAATTGACTACTCTAACAAAAGAAATGCCCTCATATATAACTTTTTTTTTCAATCGCAGTCATCTTTATCTTAAAAAATTAAATGAAAATTCGTTGGCAAAAACATTAGAATAAAAATTACATATACATCTCAAATTAAAAAAAATTAAAAAAACAAAAAATACAATAAAAAAGTTCAATTTTTTTAACAGTTTTACAAATTTAATTTGCAAATAGTGTTATGAAAGTATGATTTGTAAACACACTGTAAATATAACAGTTTGATTTGTAAATGATGTTTTTTTTTACAGATATTTCTTCTAAAATAAATACAATGATATAATTTAGGACAAAGAGAAATTGCCAGCTGCTGATTATGGGGTGCGTGGCTCAAGAGGAGCGACCGGGTAGGTGATGACGAGGCTGCGTGCGCGCGCGCGCGCGCGAGAGAGAGAGAGAGAGAGAGAGAGTTATTTATTAAGTCTTGAGTATCTTTGTTGCCAAGATAAATCATGAATTTTTTTTATTTTCAAAATATTAAATAAAAAAATCCCATAACAAAAGGTTGATTTAATTTAAATCTACATGTATAAAACAATTGAAACAGACAATTCTGTGCATTTTTCTCATTTGCGTACCATGTTTCTTAATAATTTTAGATTCCCGTGTACTAATTAAGTTACTAACCCTGTTGTTCTGCTTCATTTTTAACTTCACAAATATTGATTTTTTTTGGGGTGTAACTTCACAAATATTTTTTTGTTTTGTTATGCACAAGTATATTTCTATTGAAGATAATCTTATTTAAGGTATTGTTAAGCACTAAGGTCTTGTTTGGTACAAAATATTGAAAATAAAAGATTGGGATTTGGATTGCAATTGAGAAAAATCATTAAAATAGTATTTAATATGAATAATTGCTTGTTATATGAGATTAGGCAAACCTATAGGGTAGGATTGGGGAATACCACTTTCCCTGTGGTATTTTCCAATCTTATATTCATAAGTTTGGCTAATCTCTTACAACAAGTAATCTATTATGCTAAATATTCTTTTAGTAGATTTTTCTCAATTCTTTTTTTTTTTTGCCAATGTAGATTTTTCTCAATTCTAATCCCAATCCCTACCCTAATTTTCAGTGCTTCTACCATACCTAAATGTAGATACTTCTTTGAGTGGGATTTTTTTTTTTTGTGCCAGCTCTTTGACTGGGAATTTAAACCTTAATTTTTCAAATTGTGAGCCGCTAACTTTTTTTTACGATTCTTGATTTCACAAATATGCGAGTGTTTTCAAATGCGGTGTCCTTGAAATGAAAGTGATTGGGTCTGTGCATGGTGAGAAAGAGAAACCCACCAATCAATAAGAGCCCAGAGGCTTCTTTTGGGCTTTGATTGTAAATCAACGTGGGGTTTGGGGCACACGCAAAACGGTTTTTCAAATGGGAGTGGCTAGAGATAAAATTATGACGGGCTAATTAAGTATAAACGTGGATGCAAGGGTTTGTGTTAATGGGCCTTGGGCTTAAATTTATGGCATTTATTTGTTTAGGATTAAAATATACATTTGGTTCTTTAACTTTATGTAAAGTTTCAGTTTAGTTTCTTAACTTTAGAAAGTATACTTTTTGTCTTTTAACCCCAAAATTGCTAGTCTTAAATAATAATTTTTTTTATAACATTCATGGTTATTTTGAATATTAAACTTAATATGTTAGTATTTAGTAATGTTTTATTAACACGTAAGAGCTTAATATCATTTTTGTTAACAGTTTTAGAGTTAGAGAACTAAAAGTTTACTTTTGAAAATTAAGAGACCAAAATAAAACCTTGTAAAAAGTCAAAGGACTAAAAGTATGTTTTAGCCTTTGTTTAATTTAAAATAAGAAATTATTTTAGACTATACCTTTGAATAGTACAGAGAATACGGTTAGGCCGACTCTATAAAGTAGGGTCAAACTTGTTACCTTGTAGAAACCCTAATTATTTTGAAATAATGAATCATGCATTTGAAACAATAGATCCATTCAAATCAATGTCAAAATGACAACAATAACAAGACTAGGATAAGTATCATGCATTTGGATAGAATTTGAGATAAGCCATATTATTTATATATAAAATACTCTTTCGGTTTTAAATTTAATTTATACTGCAAAATAAATTTTATATTTGAGACTGAAGGAGTATTATTTTTCTTTATGCTAAACAAGTGGTATTGAACTTAGTTTATTATATACTTCTTATAAATATCAACTAAGTATTGTGAATAGATTGCTCCCAATTGTTCAATTATTTCGTAGCCAAAGTCTTTTTTTTTTGGGGATAAATAGTTATTATGACTTGTGCTCAATAAAATTTGATCAATTTTTTGCCATTAAGGTAGAGAACCAGACCAATACTTTTTTTTAATCATCAAGAAAATCACTGCTATTTTATTATCAATTTTTTTCTAAGCAGTAGACGGCTTTACTTATAAAACTTAGGGCCCTTTCGAAATAGCTTATAAATAACTTTTCAATCATGATTTACAAAATATAAGATAAGTATGTAGAAGGAGTTTTGTTTCAATTTACATGAAACGTGCTTATAAGTGTTTTTAAACGTTATCCCAAACAAGCCCTTAGACTTTTTATATTTTTGCCTAAAGTATATATTTGATCATTTAACTTTATATAAGATTTTAATTTGGTTACTTAATTTTGAAAAGTACATTTCTAGTACTTTAATCTTAAAATCATTAGTCTTAAATGATGACTTTTTATAATAATTATGATTATTTAAAAAAATACACTTAATATGTTACTCATTTGGTCCTATTTTGTAGGGTAGAGAGAGACAATATTTTTTAGTCATATTCATAGGACACTGAGAGAATTTTTTGTATAGATGTACAATTTTACCCTTCATTTATTATGGTGTTGACTTTGTTTAGATGAGATATAATATATATTAAATAAAAATAAAGTTGAAAAGTTATTGAATTTTAAATGAGAATTAATGAAGTTTAAGGTTTTTCTTGATCTTTATGAAATAGGGGTGTGCATGAAGCCTAAATGCTAGCTGAGCCCACTCGAGCCCAAAGAAAAATTGTCCAGTCCAAGTCGAAAAAAAAAGCCTGAAAAAGAATGGGCATGGCATTTCCGGAGTGTTTGGGAAGCATCAGAAGTGCTTCTAAAAAATACTTTTCTACAAATCAAAATA